CTGAATATTTTAAGCTGACCAACTTCAATTCCACTTGCTGCTCTAATAACCTGTGTAACAGTGGTAGAACCAGCCTTCCGGTCATCTCTGTGGTCCTCAGTCTAGTTGCAGTCGTTTTCATGATCTGTCGCTGATGATGCTCCTAGCGTCTCTCCCTGTTCAAGAACAACCTGCAGTTCATAAACTAATCTGCATCTCCTAGTCCCGCTGGGATGTCGTGATCAGTGATTTTCAGCAAAATGAAATATAAATACCTTTAAATGTGAATAAAATATTTCCCACAGCATAATTAGGCTTTTGGATGTATTGTAAATCTCCTCCTATGACACTGATATCTCCTTTTGTTGTCTTTCCCTCTGAAATAATACAACTTTATTTTGTGTTGAATAAAATTACATTGATACTGCCTATCTGTGGTTAGAATCTTACTGGTCTGACTTGAAAAAGCCCTTTGTTTGGCGAAACGCGTTGTGTTCTTTTAGCATATATTTGCCTTTCACAGACTATTTTTTTTAACTATCTATTGTTACTGGCACATCAATACTTCTGAAGAATCTTTTCCACTCTACACCTCACCCCTGGCAAGGATTATCTTCTGGATAACTTATGCTACATTATATCCTATATATATATATATATATTACTGCTCTATCAAAGGTGAGTAAACAACCATTGATTTTTAGTTATTTAGTTACTCCAATGCAGTGGCGTAGCTAGAGCCTCTGCCGCCCGGGGCTGCCCCTGAGTTTGCCGCCCCTATTTCGACCCATGTCATGTCCGGTTCAGTTGTGGACGTCCGTGGCTGCACCAGACATACCTCTTTTAAGTACTCACCGCCTCTAGCCCAGCACAGTTTACAACCTTTTTAAGCCTTTTTTTTAGATATACACCCAATGAATAAATGCATGAAAAATTAATGCATGTAATTCATTATGGGCATATCTACTAAACAGTGATTTTATGGGGGTTGTGCTTGCCCATTTGGGCAGAGTGTTCCTTTAAATAATTATTGATACTGAAGTGCTTCAGTATATTTAACTTTTTATTAGTGTGAAAATAAACACTTTGGGGTGAAATGCAGCTTATTGAATTAATTTTTTTACACATTTTAAAATTATATATACTTTTATTTTTTGGGGAGAGGGTGTGTGTGGAGTGCAGGGGAGGGGGACTGTCAGGGTGCTGGGAAGGCAGAGGGAAAGGAGATATGTGTAGGGGAGTGAGGGGGAGTGTCAGGGTGCAGGGTGAGAGGGGATCTATGCAGGGGAGGGATGGTGAGAGGAGATCTGTGCAGGGAAGGGAGAGGGGATCTGTGCATGGGAGAGAGGGTATGAGGGGATCTGTGCAGGGGAGGGAGAGGGGATCTGTGCACGGGAGGGAGGGTAAGAGAGGATCTGTGCAGGGGAGGGAGAGGGGATCTGTGCAGAGGAGGGGCAGGGGAGAGGGATCTGTACAGGGCAGGGAGGGGAAGAGAGAGGGATCTGTGCAGGGAGGAGAGGGATCTGTCTGGGAAGAGGGATCTGTGCAGGGAGGGAGAGGATCTGTGCAGGGAAGGAGAGGATCTGTGCAGGGGGAGAGAGGAGATCTGTGCAGAGGAGGGACGGGGAGAGGATCTGTGCAGAACCTGTACGGAGGGAAGAGGGGATCTGTGCAGGGGAGGGAGAGGGGATCTGTGCAGGGGAAGAGGGGATCTGTGCAGGGGAGGGAGAGGGGATCTGTGCAGGGCAAGGAGAGGGGATCTGTGCAGGGGAGAGAGGAGATCTGTGCAGAGGAGGGACGGGGAGAGGGGATCTGTGCAGGGCAGGGAGGCAGGGGAAGAGGGGATCTGTGCAGGGAGGAGGGCTGTCAGGGAGGTCTGTGAAAGTGCAGGGGAGGTAGGGGGAGAGAGGATATGTGCAGGGAGGGGGGTCTGTGAAGGTGCAGGGGAAGGAGGGGCGGGGGGATGTGTACAGGGGAGGGAAAGGGAGAGCTTACCTGGTACTGTGCAGTGAGGAGGGGTGGGGAGAGCTTACCTGGTACTTACCTGTTATATCTGCCAGGCTGCCCTTTCTCTTCACTCCACAGGACAGGAGAGCACAGGAGGTGAACTCACTTCCCATCCTCATGCCCTGCCTCTTCCCCTCTCTCTCTGCAGATCTGGGAAGCAGAGCAGGATCGCTGCCAGGTCTCCCTCAGTAGGTGGGAGCCCCCACTAAAGTGCCGCCTGGGGCGGACCGCCCCCCCCCCTTGCTACGCCACTGCTCCAATGGCCATGAGAGTGAATGCCCACCACGTCAAGGCAAACCTCCTACACTGACTATTCACTTTGCGTCCTTGAGCTTCTGGCAAAGATATCTCTAATGACACAGAGAGGGGTATTATTTTAAACCCCTACACAGGGCCGGATTAACATAGGGGCTGATGGAGCTGCAGCTCCAGGCCCAGGCCCAGGCCCATGGAATAGGCCCATTGAGTTTAAAAAAAAAAGAATTTTTTTTTTTTTTACATTTTTTTTCACACACTTCTCTTAGGGATTCCACCTGGCTTTTATTTTATTGGCACAGCCAGTATTTGAGGCTTCCTGGCTGGTGCCAATATTGCAGTGATACTGGCAATACAAATGCTGGTATTTTTCTCAGTATAAACAAGAGATTACTCTGCAATACCAGCACTGGCCAGTAGGGGTCGCTGTATGTGGAGAGAGGCAGGGATAGGAAGTTCCAGCATATCCATCCCTGCCTATCTATACTCACTGATCTCCAGGGGTGCAGCTACAGAAAGTCCAGACAGCATCTCCCACCCTGCAGAGACAGCCTACAGCTCAGGGAAGTAAGGGATGGGGGGAAAGGCTGCAAGGAGACATATACTGAGACACTAAGGGACATCGGGAGACATTATGGCAGACACTGAGACACTAAGGGACACTGGGAGACATTATGGCAGACACTGAGACACTAAGGGGCACTGGGAGACATTATGGCAGACACTGAGACACTAAGGGACTTTGAGAGACATTATGGCAGACACTGAGACACTAAGGGGCTTTGGGAGACTTTATGGCAGACACTGAGACACTAAGGGACGCTGGGAGACATTATGGCAGACACTGAGACACTAAGGGACATTGAGAGACATTATGGCAGACACTGAGACACTAAGGGCACTGGGAGACATTATGGCAGACACTGAGACACTAAGGGACATTGGGAGACATTATGGCAGACACTGAGACACTAAGGGACACTGGGAGACATTATGGCAGACACTGAGACACTAAGGGATATTGGGAGACATTATGGCAGACACTGAGACACTAAGGGACATTGAGAGACATTATGGCAGACACTGAGACACTAAGGGACATTGAGAGACATTATGGCAGACACTGAGACACTAAGGGACTTTGGGAGACATTATGGCAGACACTGAGACACTAAGGGACTTTGGGAGACATTATGGCAGACACTGAGACACTAAGGGACTTTGGGAGACTTTATGGCAGACACTGAGACACTAAGGGACGCTGGGAGACATTATGGCAGACACTGAGACACTAAGGGACATTGAGAGACATTATGGCAGACACTGAGACACTAAGGGACATTGAGAGACATTATGGCAGACACTGAGACACTAAGGGACACTGGGAGACATTATGGCAGACAATGAGACACTAAGGGGCACTGGAGACATTATGGCAGACACTGAGACACTAAGGGACACTGGGAGACATTATGGCAGACACTGAGACACTAAGGGACATTGAGAGACATTATGGCAGACACTGAGACACTAAGGGACATTGAGAGACATTATGGCAGACACTGAGACACTAAGGGACATTGAGAGACATTATGGCAGACACTGAGACACTAAGGGCACTGGGAGACATTATGGCAGACACTGAGACACTAAGGGACATTGGGAGACATTATGGCAGACACTGAGACACTAAGGGACATTGGGAGACATTATGGCAGACACTGGGACACTAAGGGACATTGGGAGACAATATGGCAGACACTGAGACACTAAGGGACATTGGGAGACATTATGGCAGACACTGAACACTAAGGGCACTAGGAGACATTTGCCAGTATGAGACTTTAAGGATTTGGGGGCACGGACACTTTGAGGACAGGGGTGTGTGGCAGACAGGGCAAGGGACTTTGGGAGACTTTATGGCAGACACTGAGACACTAAGGGACATTGAGAGACATTATGGCAGACACTGAGACACTAAGGGACATTGAGAGACATTATGGCAGACACGGAGACACTAAGGGCACTGGGAGACATTATGGCAGACACTGAGACATTAAGGGACAATGGGAGACATTATGGCAGACACTGAGACACTAAGGGACATTGGGAGACATTATGGCAGACACTGAGACACTAAGGGACATTGAGAGACATTATGGCAGACACTGGGACACTAAGGGACATTGGGAGACATTATGGCAGACACTGAGACACTAAGGGGCACTGGGAGACATTATGGCAGACACTGAGACACTAAGGGACACTGGGAGACATTATGGCGGACACTGAGACACTAAGGGACACTGGGAGACATTATGGCGGACACTGAGACACTAAGGGACACTGGGAGACATTATGGCAGACACTGAGACACTAAGGGACATTGGGAGACATTATGGCAGACACTGAGACACTAAGAGGCACTGGGAGACATTATGGCAGACACTGAGGCACTAAGGGACACTGGGAGACATTATAGCAGACACTGGGACACTAAGGGACACTGGGAGACATTATGGCAGACACTAAGGGACACTGTGAGACATTATGGCAGACACTGAGACACTAGGGACATTGAGAGACATTATGGCAGACACTGAGACACTAAGGCACTGGGGAGACATTATAGCGAACACTGAGACACACTAAGGGACATTGGGAGACATTATGGCGAACGCACTGAGACACTAAGGGACACTGGGAGACATTATGGCAGACACTGAGACACTAAGGGACATTGGAGACATTGTGGCAGGGCACTGAGACATTAAGGGACAATGAAGACATTTGGCGAACACTGAGACACTAAGGGACATTGGGAGACATTATGGCAGACACTGAGACACTAAGGGACACTGGGAGACATTATGGCAGACACTGAGACACTAAGGGGCATTGGGAGACATTATGGCAGACACTGAAACACTAAGGGACATTGGGAGACATTATGGCAGACACTGAGACACTAAGGGACATTGGGAGACATTATGGCAGACACTGAGACATTAAGGGACAATGGGAGACATTATGGCAGACACTGAGACACTAAGGGACATTGGGAGACATTATGGCAGACACTGAGACACTAAGGGACATTGAGAGACATTATGGCAGACACTGAGACACTAAGGGACATTGAGAGACATTATGGCAGACACTGAGACACTAAGGGACATTGAGAGACATGCAGCAGACACTGAGACACTAAGGGACATTGGGAGACATTATGGCAGACACTGAGACACTAAGGGACATTGGGAGACATTATGGCAGACACTGAAACACTAAGGGACACTGGGAGACATTATGGCAGACACTGAGACACTAAGGGACATTGGGAGACATTATGGCAGACACTGAGACACTAAGGGACATTGGGAGACATTATAGCAGACACTGAGACATTAAGGGACAATGGGAGACATTATGGCAGACACTGAGACACTAAGGGACATTGGGAGACATTATGACAGACACTAAGGGACACTGGGAGACATTATGGCAGACACTGAGACACTAAGGGACACTGGGAGACATTATGACAGACACTGAGACACTAAGGGACACTGGGAGACATTATGGCAGACACTGAGACACTAAGGGACACTGGAAGACATTATGACAGACACTGAGACACTAAGGGACACTGGGAGACATTATGGCAGACACTGAGACACTAAGGTACACTGGGAGACATTATGGCAGACTCTAAGGGACACTGGGAGACATTATGGCAGACACTGAGACACTAAGGGGCACTGGGAGACATTATGGCAGACACTGAGACACTAAGGGACATTGGGAGATACTATGACACAGACACATGGGGACACAGTGTCCCCATGTCTCCCAGCCAGTGTCCCTGGTGTCTCAGTGCCCCCTAGTCTCAGTGACCCCTAGTCTCCCAGTGCCCCCAGTCTGCCAGTGTCTCACTGTCCCCATGTCTTCTAGTGCCTCCATGTCTCTCATTGCCTCAAGTGTCACAATGTCCCCATGTCTCCAAGCTAGTGTCCCTAGTGTCTGTGGCCCTGGTGTCTCTGTGTCCCCATGTCTCCCAGTGCCCCATGTCTCAATGTCCCCATGTCCCCCAGCCAGTGTCTCTAGTGTCTGTATCCCCATGTCTTCAAGTGTCCCCTATTTTCCCATTGTCCCCATGTGTCCCAGCCAGAGTCCCCTAGTCTCCCAGTGTCACTGGTGTCTCCATGTCCCTAGGTCTCCCCGTGTCCCCAGGTCTCCCCGTCTTCCTAGAGTCCTAGTGACATGGGGACCCTGGGATACATGGGGACACAGGGAGACATGGGGCATTGAGACACTGTGATACATAGGATCACTGGGAGACCTGGGGACACGACACTAGGGGACACTGGGAGACATGGGCACTGAGACACTGATACATAGGAACACTGAGACCTGGAGTAATCGACACATGGGGCACTGAGTCATGAGGGCACTGGGAGGGGAATCCATCTATACAGCAGATTTAAACTATGTAGTTTTTTGGTGATTTTACAGCATTTTCTCTTATGTCACTCCTTGTGATTTACATCATGTGATGTCACCCATACATATTTAATTATGCAAATTAGTAAGGCCGGTATGTTTTTCCAAGAAAGGTGGCAACCCTAACTACTTTTCACATACTCTTACTTAAGTATGGAAACTTAAGTGGGATGTATGGGAACAAAACTTGTGTGGACTGGCTGACAATGAATATAGTTAAAGGGACACTATAGTCACCAGAACAACTACAGCTTATTGAATTTGTTCTGGTGAGTAGAATCATTACCGTCAGGCTTTTTGCTGTAAACACTGTCTTTTCAGAGAAAATGCAGTCTTTACATTACATCCTAGTGATAACTTCACTGGCCACTCCTTAGATGACTGTTAGAGATCCTTCCTGGGTCATGGCTGCCTAAAATGCATCCAAACATTCAGTGTCTCCTCCCTCTGCATGCAGACACTGAGCTTTCCTCATAGAGATTCATTAATGAAATTCATCTATATAAGGAGATGCTGATTGGCCAGGGCTGTGTTTGAATCATACTGGCTCTGACCCTGATCTGCCTCTTTGTCAGTCTCAGCCAATCCTATGGGGAAGCACTGTGATTGGATGAGGCCACCACTTCTAATGATGTCAGCAGACTGCTTGTTTGTATGAGTCTAACAGCATGCAGAGTTACAGCTTCAGGCGTGAATATAGATTTTGCTATATTTATGGAGGCATGAGAGGTCCAGGGGGGGGCTAGATGGTGGTGTTAACACTATAGGGTCATGAATTCATGTTTGTGTTCCTGATCCTATAGTGATCCTTTAAGGTAATGCTGATTTTGGTCTCTCTAACACTGTGGCATGTTCCCTTTCTTCTACACTCACTACATACAGCTTTTCTCTGTCCCAGACCATATACCAGGAGCTTCTGCCTGCTAGTAAGAAGGTAAGGAGACAAGTGGACCAGCGAGTGCTAGGGGACAGTCCTTAGAAAGCGTTGAGCGAGCGCATCATTAGATGCATTTATGCCAAGCTCAGGGTGCTGTCTGCATAATATGCCCTTAGTTGGCCAGCTGCATGATTGGCAGGCAGCCTGACATGCATTCATGCCAGGCTGGCCTTCTAATTCTTTGGGCAGACATGTCCTCTTTTTGGGTATGTTCGCCCCTTTTGGCAGGTTACGTGATTTGTGTCAGTGGCACACCATTTTACCATGCCCATTGACTTCCTGCTTGACTGGACACTGCTGTTAGGGGTTATGGATTTACTTTAAAGCTGAAAACATAAATTAGTGAGAGATTAGCCTAGGGTATGTGTTTTCCTATAGCTGCTGTTTTCTTTCTCTCCAGCACCATCTCCATCAGATACATGATGTTTTGGAGTGTTTTACTGTTTTTGGTCGATATGATTCTGTAATTAGGCCCGTCATAATTGTCAGCACCAGGCCCACTGGGCTCTTAATCTGGCCCTGCCCCTACATGCTTATTAACCCTTAATAAGGAACACATGGGATGGGCGGCAGCATTGTAACATAGCTGTGTGATACAAAAGTGAATACAAATACAGAAAAAAAGTCCTGTGCTCAAACTCCCACTATTCTTGGACAAGCGCAGGACTTGTTTTTTGCATTTGTATTTACTTTTGTATCACACAGCAGTTGGTTAACTTGGTCTTTAAAGGATTACTATAGTGTCAGGAAAACAATCCAGTTTTTCTGACATCATATAATCCTTAGGTCCCCCCCACCCTCAGTACCCCCTGCCACTGGGCTGAAGGGGTTTGGTGTACTGTGTTTGCCTAAAATGTTATTCTTGTTTTGTTCGAATACCAAACAAAACCACAAACCACCAGACCACCCGTATGCTGCTTGTTAACCTCCATCACCCCTGTCAACACCTCATTAACACTTGCAAACTGCAGCATTCTAAACGGTCGGCTGGCTGGTCGCCATGCGTATGTATGAACATGTGGTGGTGGCCATCTTGTGCCGCGGACACAGGCAGCAGTGTTTGTTCGTCGAGTGCATGGAACTAAAATCGGAACACTCGACCGCCCAAACACCTCTGAACTTCCATTCCTGCCTGAGTTTGTTCATATTCATCTGAAAGCAGCACTGTTCGGTGGGAGCATACTCCTGAATGAGATGAACGTAATCAG